GAGGGAGAGAGAGAGAGATGTGGCTTTCCGAACCGGTTCACAGATATGATTACTACAGTTACACAATGATCCGCAAGATACTAATGGAACGAGTATCGCGGTCGCATCAGGATCGTCCGAGAATCGAGAACCGACCATAATTGTATTATATCCCGGAATAATCGAAGGGATCGATGGAGCATTGAGAGAACTTGGTGGGATATACATAATACTAAACATGGCGCACGATTCAAGCGGACAGCTCCCGTATAATCGAGCCGCGAGACAAACGATTAATCACAACCACGTGCCCGATAATGGCCACAGTTCCGACGATCTTATGGGCGATTTCAATACATTATGAGCGCCTACAACCGTGACGTTGTTACGGTCACTTGTCACAAAAGCGATCGCTCGTTGTCGTTCCGACAATAAATATTTGATAATCGAACGAATAAATTATATATACATATATTATAGATATATGTATATAATAATTAGTTAATTATATCACAAATAGAATATATTTGCTTACAAAGCTATATTTCGTTTAATGAGAACATTCACGATATACAAAGTAAATTGAATGAAAGGCGAATAATAGCGAGCGTTATATTATTATTCGCAAGCGAAATGCGGCACTGTAAAAATGAGCAAAAATAGTAACACAAAGTAATTCAGTTTTTATGCAAGATCAAAGAAGTTAATATAAAAAGAGTAAAATCTAATATGTAAAATTCGAAAGTATAAAAAAAATGTTTGACTTCCTTGGCCGTGTCTGTCTCTAAAATATCCCTTGGATTTTATTGCACTGGGATTACGAAATTATCTTTCCATCGGAAAAAAATACGAAAAATGCGACTTAAATTATTTTAATGCATGCATATTCCCAATATTATTGGAAGACTCTTCATATAAAATCGTTGAAAAAATATAAAATGCATATATTTCTTGCAACAATAGTCGGACGAAATTCGTCGACTCATAGTTTACCCATCGCAATTATCGGAGCGCCGACATTAATTACTATTACATGTAGAACATAACGTAATGATTCGTGGCATAATAAAGTACAATTTGCTGCAAAATTCAAATTGCGACCAGCCGGTGGTTCGAAAGAGAATCGAATTAGTCATAATATATCGAATCGACGCGCAGAATAGTACGCCCATGCTCTGACGTTATAATCGTCGACGAGATTTACAATGCTCCATTAGTGTACAGAGAACTTATCTCGCTTTATGCAAATACGCAAAAAGCACGTAGCGTTATGTTTAATATACATAAGCATGTTGGACATTTTCACGTTTGTTCGCTAATATGTATAATCGAATATATCAGGACTATGATTATCTCAGGATAGCATATGATTATCTCTAATTACTATTAATGTACTAAACCGATCATTTTTTTTAAATTATTTGAATTATTAAAAAAAAAGAACGGAAGCGAAATGTAGCATAACAATAGAATTTTAAGAAATGTGGTGCGAGAAAACTTTGATAAGCTAGGTCTTAGAAATGCAAACCTCCCCAAGATAGAATTTTATTCTCTGTAAAAATAAAAAAATTTCAATATTATAATCTCGCTGTTTTTAAATTACAAGGAAAATATTCTATGTAAAACTATACACTACAAAGGTTTCTATATCTGTATGCTTAAACTTTCTTATTAAAAGCGCTTCTAGAAGAGCAAAGTTCGTGCTGACATTTCATTTCGTGGAAACCACTGAGAGTTCTGATTTTATTTTTAATAGTTATATAATTCCTAAAAGATAAAACAAGACAAACCAAGATGGTAAGTTCATGCTGCGTCTCAATTTGTCATACGAAATTTTATTGTTTTGTTTTATTAGGTTTTAAGAGTTTTAGAATTTTATAGAAATTATAGAAAATTCTGCTTTTTAAAGATTAAAACTATTAATGTATGAATGAAATTTCTGTTTTTCTGTACAAAAATAAGAGTAAAAATTCTCATAATTTATAAATTTCTATGAAATAATATGTAAATTTCACATATGTGTAGAGTTCTACCCTACCGAACGTGTTTCAATTTCAACTTTTTCTCGAATAAGTGAAGAAAACTATTCGTGGAATGAATAAAGGTAAGATTCACTCTTTTAGCGATGAGGCGAGAACTATATTTGCAAGAAAAAGCGTAGAACGTGTTTTTTGTCCCCGCTCTGTTGGTTTTTATCGATGCATACGCTTCGTCTATGCGGATTAAAAACGTACTACCGCGCATTTAGGTCACCGTGCACATAGGAGCATCCATTGTTTCTGCACAATGCATCGCGGCAATATCATTCCAAATTTCAGACTTTATATGGGGATGTGACCTATCAAAGTAGCCGCGGCAGCTAAATCATATTTGCATAAACTGTTAAAAGCTATTTGACTTAAATAAATTTAAATTTTTAATTTGTCACGATAATTTCCAAAAAAAATGCAATATCCAAAACATAATGTACAATAATTTTTAATTAGACTCATAAATTTCTGAAATTCTATAATCATAACTTTATAGTTTTATCCTATATATATATAAATACTTTCTTCTTAAAAAATAATTTTCTCTATTAAATAAAAATTTAATATTATACGAACTGTTAATCAATAGTTTACTCTACAATTTTAAGAAAAAGAATCAACTACTCTTTAAAAATATTTTGAAGAAACATTTTAAGAAAATTCAATAATTAAAATAACATTTCCTTAAAATGTTATCTTAAAGTATTCTTAAATTTCGAAAACTATAATATTTTTCTTAAAATTGCGAAGTACTCGCAAATTGTAATTTTCCGCATTTGCACACACGACATGCAAACGTCAAGTATCGATATGGCATAAGCAAACGTGGCTAAGCATCTTTGTTACATGTGAATGTGTAAAATTACAACCTCAGAGTTTCAGTGCGGTGTTACTCTGCTGGTTAACAAGCTACGAATTGCAGTATTCGCGAACTTATTACGGCAATTTTATTAGCCCGCGCTATGCATTAATACAAAATGCGCTGTTCCGTGTGTATACTTCGCTAAACGAATGAGTCGTGTAATTTCGGCGCATTAAGTTTCCGGTAAAGCTGTAGTAGTAATCTAAGAAACAACATAGTAGCGAAATGTGCACGCAAGCATTTAATATCGTTTTACGATCTTTACGGAATAAAGATATTTACTTGTCGTTATAAATGTGTAAACTGAGATCAATAAATATAATCGATTTCTCGCAGAAATAAAAAAATTTAAGAAGAGAAATTAAAATATATATACGATAAAAATATATGAAAATCATTCAATAAATAAGCAAACACTGCTGTTTGCTTATTTAAAAACTATCTAACAAGTGCTATATTATTTCTACAAACATACGTTAATAATTGTGTTAATCTTAGCAACAGCTGTTTGAGATTAATAGTAAGTTGTACATTATTTTACAATAATGTCCATTCGAAAAATGTAATTGAAAAAACATGATTAGATTTTTTATTTCGAAAAATGTAAAATCAGTTGAAATTTACGCAAGAGTGTCTGAATAATAACGAAAGGATTGTACGCAACATATTTATAGCATTGAAACCTCAACTGGATAAGGCGTTGTTCCATTATTCAAGTTTATCAGTAACGCATATTTTATTTATTAATTGATCAACACATTCAGTTATAAACATCAGCACAATTCATACAATTCTTTCCGTATTGTTCAGACAGTCTTGAATAAACTTCCACTGGTTACATTCTGAAATAAAAAATCTAATCACACTAAACGTCGCTCTATCAATGTGAATCTTCTAAGTGGACTTTATTATGAAGAAGATTACAATTAGATTAGCTATTGTTAGATCAAACAGCTGTTACTAAAGATTAACAGGGTTGCCAATATACATTTGTAAAAAATAAGGCACTTAATGTATTCGGATAATTTTTAAGTTACAGCTGCTTGTATTCTTGTTTGCTGAATGTCTTGCAATATTATTATTCTCATCAATATCATCTTTCTTCGCATGTGTATTCTGTTTACAAATTTCTCTGAAAATTTTGCTACAAATTGTAATTCAAGACTTGACGTACAATATCATCCATAGTGAAAGAACTTGATATTTGCCAAAGCCTATCTCTTTCTCCGCCTCCCCCCTCTCTCTTTCGGTTGCGGAATTTCTCGCTGTTAGCTGTCACGTGAGCGGCGTGACGTAACTGCCGCGAGCGCGAGGCATATAAACAAGAGCATATCGTACACTCACCTTCGTCACGGCGACCTTTGATTTGATGACAGCCTCACCTGTCTCCTCAACGTGGACACGCAGCATCCGGACTTCATGAAGAGAGATGAGCACGCGCGTCACATATTGATGAGCACGCGGGATGAACGCGCCGACATCACGTTGCACTGTTCGTCAATTCGACGCCCGTCGCGCATACGAGATCGAACGAAGGTAAACACACGGTTGAACGGAGGGATGAACGGCCACGTGACCGCTTCGCGTCGAATCGCGTGGCGTCGTGTCTGTTCGCAGCTTCCACAAGCGACCTTGTCGGTGACGACAACGAAGGCCGCGTTAATTCGGGCGCGCCGATCCTAAGTACACTCTCTCTTTCCCTCTTATTGAATTACCGCCGCAGCTACGAGTCCATCGATGAATCGATGTCGCGGCGGGCGTGCCGACGACGATACGTGAGTGACGTCGGTCGCCGGACGACGACGATCGCTTGTCGCTGAGCGAGGGGGACGCGAGAATGCTCCAAAGATCACCACCGCGGAGGACATCTCGTCACGAGACTGTCGCAGCACAACCGTAACCGAACGCCAGCGTTCGCGGCGGCGCCGACGAAAACCCAGCGCGCTGATTGGCGGAGGCGTCGCGAATCGCTCGATGAGCGACCCGACCGCGTGGCGATATCTGGCGGCGCCGGCGGATTGCTTACGTTGCAGCAAACACAAGGCTCGGTTTATGGTAAACTTGATCTCGCGATTCCTTTCACCATCCTTGAAGAGAGAAACCTTTCAAGAGCGAATCCAGAATGTCCGTGCGTTGCAACTGTAAACCCGCTTTAGGTGAGCTGTAATTCAAACAAAATTATATTAAAATATGTATATGCATAGGTGTTTAATTTTCACAGATTTATTTTTCATATTTTATTTCTTATACTTTTAATGCAAACTTTAATTGTCAATTACATCACCGCTCTCTCGATCTTTAAAAATGTCGTGAAGTAAACTTGACATATTTTTAGAAACAAACTTATTAGAAGCGCAGAGTAATTCACGTATAAAACTATGGTTTATCAGACGGTGTGCTAAAACAAGATCTTCCTTGTCATTCAATTCCTCATCTTTTAAGTCGTTGTACACGTGTGCTATTCCTTCGCAAAGGCTCATAGAAGTTTCAAAAAGATTTGCTTGCGACGCGAGCCACGGTAAACACGTAGACAAAACCGTCTGAAAAAAATTGTTTGTATCAGACGTCACTTTTAAATATAGAAATCGTTTATTACTAATAAATTCTAAAAAATCAATGCATTGATATATTGTCAATGCGACATTACATTCATTTTTCCAATTAAAATTCTATTTTAAGTTTGTGATTACAATTTATTTTCCTAAAATTGCTTCGAAATTCAAACTAATATTCAAATCCATTTGTTTCTAACTGAAATTTAACTTTTTTTAATAAAAAAAATATTAGTCGAGAGAATGACAAATAAATAAATTTACCAAGCAAACATCCCGTGGTAGCCAAAAGACCGTTTTATTTGGTTGAATTTTTTCATCATTTTTGGACAGAATTGATACCAATTTCAGTGATGAACCCGAATGATATTCGCGCTCGTCATTGATTACCGACGAATCTTCTATAACTAGGTCCTCTCTTATTACTTCCGGTGGCAAGAGTTCGGTCGAATTTATCTCGTGATATTCGTCCAGCTGTTGAATTACGACTCGACGTTTTGAAGTCATATCACGAGCTTCTTTCTCGAGCATGACAATGGCCTTTATTGTTTTATTCATTATGTAGCTTATCATTTCGTGCGCTACCTGAAAAAAAAATATATCGTTATTTCAAAATAATAAAAATTAATATTAACTATTTTTTTATCAAAAGATTTAAATTACACTGTCTTTATTACATATTTATAATACATAAATATTCAGTGAACACAAAGTAACAGCAACGTAACATTAATGTTATAATTTCCCACTGAACAATATAATTGTTACGTACAAGGCATGTTATATGCAGTTACATTGTTGAGTGGGAAATTATAGCATTGACGTTATGTTACTGTTAGCTTGTGTTTACTGGGTGTATAGTTTGTCACATAATTCGGCTGTTTTCTCGGTTTTCTTATGATTTTAAAATGTACAAGCTTATAAACTCGTCTGATAATACGCACTCTCTTCAGTTTTAATAATATAAAATAGAAAATTGAACTGAAATGCTTATTAAAAGCATTTTTAAAAGCAGTCAATTACGAATGAACAAATACGCCAGCTAAAACACTGAAAATTTTGTTACATTTTTTGATACATTCTAAATGCTTGTGTACTTGCAATGCGTATATTAAAATTAAAATACATCGCGTATATTATTATAGTTGTTTAATTCTTCGCTTATATTATCGTAAACGCACAAGCATAATCGCATAAATCAGCATTAGTTGAAATCCTTAAGTAGGATCGTTTCGAATTACCTCCTCGGCTTCCTCTCGCGGATAATCCGGGCTTAATTTTAACTTGCTAGCACGACGCTTTTCAAAGAGCTCTTTGGCATATCTCTCCCCTTTTACTGTATCAGTACAAACTCTGCCACCCATAGCGAGACTAAATGCTTTTCCCAGACCTTCTCGGGGATCTTCGTCTTTACAGAAGCTCAGTAACATGGCGGTATAGTGAACCGTATTTTGATTTACCAGATACATTCGGCGGAGAAGCTCCTTGGCTAGCATCAGCCTCAACATCGCGCTGTTAGAATTAACGATTTGTAAAAACAAATTGGTCGAAAAAATTTGAAAATTTTTATTCGTATATAAAAAAACAATTATCTAGCAATTAATTGAAAAAACTAAACAGAGTGGAAAAAGCAATCAGAAGAGATTATTGAATAAAAAATTATTCGGACGAAAGATTAAAATCAATTTGATAATCTAAATCAAAATTTTTAATAGAAAATGTTTTTTTTGTCTTATGCTTTGCTTTTCATTTTATTTTTAATTAATTCTCCAGTCAGTAAATCTCTTTATTTTGCTAAATTGCTCTCCATAAATACTTTGAATGTAAATACCTAATGTTATTTTCGTCTGTTTCTATGAAATCGTTCTTGAAGTTCGAAACAATCTGGCCTAATCGTGTTTCCTCGCGTAACATTATATCCGCTATCTTATCGCAGTTGCCATAATCAAGTTCTTCATTCAGGGAATCCTTGTGAGCGGAAATTTCGAGAAACCATAATAGCATCGAGTGAAATCGATCGCTCGTGATCACCTCTTTCAGTTCAGGATCTTGCTTCCTGAAGGCTGTTCGCATCTTCAGGATATCCTGATGCGACGGTATTGGCAGATCCATCGCGTACAGAATAAATTCTCGCCACTCGATATATTCAGCGGGACCAAATAATCGTTGGATCAGTTTGTCGATATCCGGAGGTCGCAATTGTCGCCAAGCGCACGGCACATAAGGCGGATAACAGTCCTCTTCGCCGCAGGACACCAGATCCTGAAGAACATAAACTAGGGCGCGTTTGCTCAGAATTCCGCTTGGAGCGATTCGTTGAAAAATATCTATCAGTCGACCGAGTTGAACAATTCGGAATCGCAAAGGTGAAGGGACCTCTTTAATTGGAGCAACGAATCCCTTAGGATCTTTGGCAAACATTAAGACACTTGATCTTACAACGAATTGATCATCGTCAAATAATAATTCCTGCTGAATTCGTTTCTCTTCTTCAATAGCGAAGCAGAAGATATTCGCCATTTCGTTGATGCTTTCGATCTCGCGTTTGTATCTTAAATATTAAATGTATATATTGTATATTGCGCATTTGATTTATAAGTTGTATTTATTTGCAAACTATTAATTAACGTTAATTGTTTTATTTAATAAGTTTATAAATTTGCAAAATAAATGTAATAATTCTGTTTTCGAAGACATTCGATGTGAAACAGTAATGTAATAATATCCAATATTTTTAAATTCAAATAATAATATTAAGAAGATTAATTGCGATAATTATGTTTCTCATTTTAAATATTTAAAAAAGGTAAATTAAATTATTCTGCAATTTGTAATTTTCCAAATTTATGTGATCGAATTACTGACTCCAACAAACAATTTATGCATATTTACATATGATATTTATATTGAATATTTCCATAAAACAAATTTATTGCAATCTGATAAACTCATTAAATAGAACATTAATATAATAAATATTTACAACTGGCACCAACCTTTCGACGATGTTATGATAAATACGGTGGAAGGTCTGTCTCATAAAATTCAGGAGAAAAGTCACGTCTGATTGAGCAGCTGCGTTCAACACATTTAATCTTTGATGAATACGATCGATCTCAAACAAGACGGCGTATCGCCATTCATCGACGAGATCGTGACTTCTCGTCAATTTCGTCGAGTTAGGCGAGACGTTTCCAGTGTCTTTGCCTTTAGCTTTTGGAACCGCGGGTTTTTCTTTCTTCTTCAGCTTCTCCAGCGCCATGGACGAGATTGAGTCCACTTGATCTCGCACTTGTCGAATATTATCCTTGATAACGTTATACACAGCGTTTTGATCAGGATCGAAGTCCTTCGACACGTCGATCAGCAGATGCTCTATTTCGGCCTTGAAGTGATTCATATTCACAATTCGAACGGAAGCTTTGACCGAATCGGCTTTCGCCTCTGACGCCGTACGCTCTTCTTCATCTTTGACCGATAAGGTTTCCCAAAGAATACCGTCAAAATCGACGTAATTAAGAACGATTTTGGAGAATCGCAATTCCTGTAATGGCTTCTGTGACATCGAGGTATAGTAATCTTCAAGAAGCTGTACAGTGTCGACAAATCTGTCGATTTCCGTTTGCAGGATACCGATGTACACGTTAACGAGGATCACAGCTTCCATCAGGATGTACTGATTCCGCAGGGTTCGTCTTCTCTCGTCTTCAGCTTCGCGTCGCCGCACATCACACAATTCCCACAATTCCGTTCGGAAATCGTCGACCTAATATAGAAATTTTGGGATGCTTGAAAACAAAAGCAGATAGCACAATTATTCTTCTATAGCTGTTGTTGCAACATTTTTTAAGAAACTAAATTTACGTGGAAATTAATTTAAATGTTTAATAAAAAAAATTTTAAATAGCTGACTTATTGATTTTATTTAAAAATTGAAACTGATATCAGCGTGTTGCTATTCTTGCTTGTATTTTTTTTCTGCAAATTCTATTGTAGCCGCAGCGCAATTAGACGCATGTGGGCGAGCTGTATTATTATCATTTATTTTTATAGCAATATATTATTTTTACATTGTTATTATACACTTTGCTACAATTATACACTATTTTTTTTTTACTTTATTACTGTACTTACACGGCAGTGCAGCTCGCACTTCATGTCGACGTCTTCTCTGAGGTCCTCATCGACCTCGTTAAAGGCGCGTTGAAAATCTTGCAACAAAACCTGCCGGTTGTCGGGTCGATTGATAAACTCCAGTAAAATGCTTAAGATCAAATTTTTATAAGACACAATAGCCGAAGTGTGCATTCTCTTTAAAGAAAGCATCTCCTTCACGTTCTCTATGTAAGCCTCTTCAATGTTCTTCCAAAGAGTAGCCAAGGTTTCCAGTAAAACTGGAGACTGAGGGAAATCTATCCACTGCCAACCGTCTTCTCCAGGTCTAACATGACCGTTTATTGGCTGCGTTTGAACTTCCGGTTGTAAATTTTCTTCTTCCAATTCGACATCTTTCTTCTCTCCGCGTTTTGAGCTTTCCCATTCAGATTTTGGAATTAAGCGTTTAACAATGGCTGCTTTCGAATTAATGAGAGTTTTTTGTTCATCTCGATACGTCCTCTCGAAGGATAATTTTTTATCGGAGAATTGACTGGTGATGGTTTCGGCTAACTCTTTCAAGGTAGGAGGATCGAGGATACTGTAGAAAAATCCATATGCGATACTTTGATTAGCGTAGTATTCGTCGATCGAAGTAGCATCATTCGATAACGGAATACAAGATTGATCTTGATCGTCCAAAATCTTTGGTTTCGGCATTACTTTAATATACTTTGTTATGAATGTTGTCGAGGGACCAGGATGATCTTTCGCTTTGACGATTGGATTTGGCAATAATCTAGACTGCCTATTAAAAACATCATTTATTAACTGGAAATCGATATTATGCAATAATTAATAAATAATTAGATTAAATAGACGTTAAAAACTGAATAATGCAGAATAATATTGAATGAATTCCAAAGTAAATTCAGTGTAAATATTTACTAATAAGAAATAAATGCAAGCACATGCTATGAATAATAAATATTTCATGGGAAAAATTTAGTATTATTTATAAATTATAATACGCGCCTGCAGATTGCGAATGTGTCAATTTCATCTTCTTCGAACACGATCCTGGATGACGGGGGATTGATGTCCTCGATATTGGCATCCGCAAAATTGATAACCTTGTGATCAAAAGGCACTTCGCGTCCGGTCAACGCTTTCTCCAACATTGCCATCTGTTCGTATGTGTTGGGGTAATTTATTAATGCCCAACCTTCAACGTCTCCAATCCCTTTTAAATATTCGATCAATATTTTTGTATTTAGCTCGTTGGATATTGGCTGACCCAGCGTGAGAAACTCGTAAGTCCATTTGCCTAGACATCGCGGATGACAGTATTATCATACAACCTTCGTTTCGATGAACGATAATAAATATACTTTTAGCTATTATTATTTTTCTAATGACCGATGTCCATTATATGTCCATTACATGTCTGAAACGTTAAATCGTGTACGTCAATCAGACATTAGTGCAAGATATTAGAAAAAGTCCCGACAAATTTTACTTGTACGCGTTATCTGTCATAAAATCGACGTCGTTAGTGCTGCAAGTCGCAAATGGAAAATCAATCTAACGATGAAACTACCATGATTACTTTATCCATTATGGCTTCGAGCAATTTTCTCTACCTATGTACGCGGAATCGCTCAAAATCGGATGCATGTCGTCGTAGGGGATCTGCCTTGGTGTCTGCGTTTGCTTCTCCTCAGCCGCGCTCTGCTGAGACGCCGCTATTTTCGTCGTTCTTTCAATCTTCTTCGGGTGACTTCGGTCTCTCGAGTCGTCTATCTTGCTCTTAGTCTCCAATCTCTTGATGTCTTCCGCCGTCGCCGGGACGATGTTCAAGTCGATGTACTCCACGTCGGCCATCTCCCGCTTGTACCTCTCCAGACAATGATTGATCGCATCTTCCATCCTCAGCAAACAAATCCCGCTGCTCTTCAACAACTCTCGCAGCTGCTCGTGCAAGATTCGATTTGTTATGCCCGAGATAACAGCCGCAACCTTGACTCTCGGCACAGGACAATCCACCGTCCCGGTCGGATAAGGATACAGGATCTCCAGCAAGCGATGAACCACATAACCGAGCACAATGCGACCCAGTCTGCAAACTTCTTCGGCTTCCTCTTTCCTTTCCGGCGCGAACTCGTCCCAAGGCGGCGCTAGATCGCGATAGCTCTCGAAGTCTGTGTCAGCCACAGCTGAACGACGTTCCATTTCGAGCTGAATCAGTCTTTGCTTATTTTCAGTTTTTAATTCTTTCTCAAAATGTATTTTTTTCTCGTTTTCTATTTCTGCTTTGTTTAATTCTTTTCTATTTTCAATTTTTACTTTCTTCGTGATTGTCACTTTATTTTTTTGCGCATCTTCCACGTCTTCGATTTCATCAACGTGTTCTACAAACTCGCATATCGATTGATTTTTCAGGAACAATGCTTTCCATTTATCCCACGAATGTGGAATATCCTTTGTCTGACCATATTCAGCGATTTTCACTGCGATATCCACGAGATCTCGCACGACCTCCGAACAGATTCCTCGATGTTCCTCTCTCATTCTGCGCGCCTTTAAATCGATTAAATGTTTTACATTTGCACATTTTATATAGTAATTACTTTCGGTATTTGTTATTGTTAATTAATTAAAGTCATTAGCATATCAATCTTTCTGATTTCTGCGTCCCTTAAATCAATAATATGCAAATAGTATTTTAACTTTAATTTAAATAATATTTTAACTTTAATTCAATGTTTAATTTTCGTATATAGAGTGAGCCAAGAAAAATTTTCGCTTATTTTGTAACGGACTGATTTATGCGAAAAATGCCGAGCCAAAAAAAAAATAAAATTGCACAATTGAATTTTTCGCAATTATCTATTTTCCATGAAAACAAAATATATCAATTTTTGCATTTTTTGCGCAAATCATTACAAAATAAATAAAGCAGATGCACAGATTCATTCTGTATAATGTAACACTGTATTTTTGCACTATTTTTTTTCCTTTTTGCTTCTTTTTATATCTTTTATTTTATTTGTCCTTGTTTTTATTTAATTTATATTCCTTCTTATTATTATATTTAGCAACTATTTTCTGTCTATTTTTCTTTCACTTTTTCTCATTAAACGCAGAGTTTCATTCATTGTTGATGGTTTATTTACTCACCTTCTCCTCGCAAATCCTTTGACGAAGTTCGCTCATTCTGCAGACCTCCATTTCTACATCTTGCATCTCTTCCTTCATTATTTCTCGTTGACGTTCTTCTTTTAGTCGCTGCTCGTGCTCTTTAGCTTCGAGTAGCATCGCATCGGCAATCCTGCGATTCTCCACGATTCTGTTTCTCAAATCCCACACCTCGCACAGCTTTCCCATTATCTGCTTCTCATAGCGCGACTGATCCAACACTCGTTCGCCGAGAACTTCGTCGAAGTATCTATCTTGTTTCCTCAACAATCGCTCCCAAGACTCCGTCATCATCGCCGTTTGCGTCTTCAATTTCGGTTCACGAGATTTAACCGCTCTTCCACTCCGCTTCTTCAGTAGGTCAACGTATTCCGCGGCAGCCACGGGATCCTCGGCGCAGGACACGTTCAGAGATCGCTTGCCGGGACAACACTCGACTATCTGGTATTTTTTCTTCGTTTCGCGAGCCGGATGTTTGCGATCGAATTTATCTAATCTCTCACTCTCCTCCTTCCTCTCGTCCGGTGGCTCTTCCGGTACGAGGTGTTCGATCGGTTCGACCACAGGATAATCCGCGAGAGCTTTCAACCGCTTTCGCTCTCGTCTGCAGGCTTCCGTGATCGTGAAAAATTTATTCCTATGCCAGAGAATGGTGTCGGCCGCTTCGATTAACGGCTGCGAAAGAAAATGCTCGGGTAATTGATAGGGTGGAGGGCTGTCCGATACTCTGGAGACTTGGAATCTGCTGGACGTGTGCATAAACTTCTCTTTCTGCTCTTTCTGCCGGGCAATGAAGTGCAATCGATCTTTCCCTTCTAAGCTCAAATAGACTTTGTAGAAGAGCTGAAGAGCCGCTGAACCTTTGCCCTAAAATACCATTCGTGTAAACATTCATTTATGCAAGCGATGTTTAAAAAAATTATTATCTTTATTTAATATTAATAACATTTTCAGTAGCATAAAGTTGGCTAAAAGAATAGCATCTTCTTAATTTCTTTTAATTCTCTTAATCAATCTAGTTTCACGCTACTTTTTACACTACTTTAGAGATCTCTTCAATGCATTCGTCGCTCAATGTGACATTGATGAGCTTCAGCCAGATTCGTAGAGTCTTCAGATTCACTCTCGACAACGCAGGGTCGTGCGTACGAAGAATGGTGCTCAATTGATTGTTGCTAATTATATCGTAACTGTGCAGAATCTGGGCCAGCAAGGTGCCATCTTTGGTATAGTGAGCGAACATGTTCGGCGTGAGGTCCATCATTACGCCCAGTCTCGTGCACAACCATGCCTTCAGCACATGTGCCATTGCGAACAGCTTTGCGCAATTTTTGGATGTTTCAGGTCCACGAGTCGCAGAACATACGTTTCCGACTTTTGCAACGTGGTCGGGACATTGCGATTTGACAACTGCGATCGTGCGAAATTAGCAATTATACGCTCTAAAATCGATTGGCTAATTTTTCATAAAGATCGAAGAACAATAATGTAATAATAGTTACTTACATATTTCAGCATTTTTCGTATTCTGAGTTTTTGTTTCATTACGAGAATTAATATCATGCAGTTGGCTCTTTCTTAACAGGAGCTTTTATATACTTTAAGAGATTTTATTTTAGGGAATATGTACTCTGCGCTTGATTTTAATTGCGAATTCACTACAATTATTTAATGAGTGTCCGCTTTTCGAATCAATATTACTTTCCCGTGTTTCTCGTATAATTAAAGCTTATCCGAAAGTATACTTTAATTGATAACAGATTTAAAGAATATGTATTATCGTAAGAAATGTGCTGCAAAGGTGGGGAAATAGTTGCAGACAAATAAGAAGCCCAGATGTGATATTTTAAAACATCAATTTAAATAACCAATAGTTCATTCACATACAACATGTGGTATATATCTCCTTTAATATTAAAAATTAAAACTTATAAATCATGCATATAAAAAGTGTGTATCCTTGTTTGTTGTTGCTTCTTTTTTTTTTATTATTTCCTTATACTCCGCTGCATATACACGTTACAGGCCTATAGGTACAGACGGGTAAAGAAAATCGTGGTTCATCAGCTTTCCTTTATTATCGATTTCAGACCAATAGCAGCGTCGCATTGAGCATTGGTTCGGCTCGCCAAGAAATAATGTACGGATCGATTCCTCTTGCGAATCGAGAGAAACGTGAGATCTCGAACTGAGATTCTCGTGGATCAAGTACGCACGAAAGGCTCGCTCTCGCGTAGTATTGTATCTTATCTTTTGCAGGACGAAAAAAGTACACGCGCTCTGTTCTTCCTTGCGTTTTCTTCCTTGCGAAAGATGGACGAATCGAAAAGAATTAGTATTTAATTAAAAAAAAGTTAAAACTCTTTTTTATTTTTTAAATATTGGTACCACTTGAAAGATTAAACAGAATCAATGATAATCAATAATACACATTCTTAATTTTCTTTTTAAACTATCATAATTTTCCAGTAATAAAAATTTATAATTATAATTGTTCGTAAAAAGATAGATAAAAATAAAGAAAATAAAAAAATTGTTTATAAAGCAAGAGATTCTAATTTCGGAGCTTAATAATTTGGAATAACTTATCCCTAAAATAATATTTTATCGATTTTCGACTCATTCATTTTTCGCAAAATCGCTTCCAGTGAGCTTTGTGTATATGTGTTGTGTATCCCTAGAAAAATTCAAAGTGGAAACAAGAGAGCTATCGGTCGACGTGACACGACTTGACACATTGGTGTATTCGCAAAAGGCTAAGAGCTAACGACGTGCGACGATGATTCTCGCCAACGAAAAAACTTGCGTCCCGACACATCGTCATCAAGGACACTCCAAATTATCGATACTCAAACGCAGTCAAACGATCGGTAATCAGAACGAGTGTCCCTACTGTCCGATACTATCGTAAAGCGTATCGGTAACGTTAATTCTTGTCTGAATTAAAAAACTTTTGGCGATGTAATATTAGATATACTTATTTACGTATTTTATTCTTCACCTCGCGAAAGAAAGCGTTGCGTATCGATATCGAGGGTTCCCGATCGTCACACGTCCGTAATTTTCCTTGTCCACGCGCGTGCAAAAATTTTCGTACGAGCCGAATAACGAAGCTTCCCCTCTCGAAGCGCGGAAAGAAAAAGAACGCCCTTCGTTATCGCGCAATGCTTCGACGATGCTGATGGAAATGGATAGAAAATAACACGATGGAGTCTCCGACGAGAGACACGCCTGTAGAGACTCGACCCGTATCTAGGTTGGTACAACTAAGTACAAATGACACGACGCGCCTTGGATTTACTCCTCGTTTAAATCGTTTACTCGATATTGTTGCACTCGCTCACGTCTAATTGGACTCGTCCCATTCTTGTATCAGTATATATTCCTCAGTACAATATAATACAACCATAATAGCAATGATGGCAATATATAATGTGATGGTAATAATAATAATTAATATAATAATATTAATAATAATAATTAGCAATTATAATAAAAATCACCATTGTCTCTCCACCATCGTCGTCGTCGTTATTATAATGTATTTATAATATTTATACCGTGTGGTGTGTGTGAGTGTGGATCCATACAATTACATCATTGTATCGCCGCAATTATAAGTATATAATTACAATTACAATCGTACTTCTTATTAATATTCACAACTTAATAATCGATCACCACCGTTTATTTTCTTCTTTTTTTCTTTTTTTGCTAAAAACAATGCGCAATTATTGTGTTTGCCCCGTTCTGCCTTTCGTCCATCGTTCACGATCATCAATTATTATTTATTATTATTGTTGTTGCTTAATTGTATGTACAGAAGAGGTATATATTCAATAATATTAATTAGTATTAGTATTTATAATAATTTAAGTTTACGTTTCACGTGACTACTGTGTGTTTGTGTGTGTGTGTGTGTGTTTTGGGTGTATCTTGTCTCTAGAAAAAAGACTCACTTTGCCTTTATCATTTTATTCCCTCGTATGTCTTTCAGTATAAAGCCAGGTATGTCTTTGAGAGTTTCACTACGAGTCGCTGTCGAGGAGTAAAGTTCTCCGGTAGGACATCTATTGGGACCTATTCTCGATTTTTATCCTTACTGAGAGGTCGTGCTATCTAGAATCATTCTGGAAGAATACGATTCTGGTCTTAGATACCGTTCGCGTGACTCCCAAAACGTAAAATAATCACATCAGCCGCCAGCGACAATCACTTTCGATCAGTCGCGTCGTACGGGACTCTCTCCTATAAATCTCAGTCGGAGATTAGAATATTTGAACGAACATTTACGGAGAATATAAAACTCCCGAGAGTACATCGAGCCCGACGAAGTCTTCCGTCTACAGAAACGAGTTCGCGACTGCCGGATCGCTGACGTCCACGATAGAAGATCGTTAGCGAGGAAACGAGTTCTAGCGTCGGCATTCTCCGACGCCGGAACTTCGACGAGGACCGAGAAAGGGACTCAGACAAGAGTCACGCGCAGATCGCAAGAGCGCGAAGTGCATTATTGCTCTGGCGATTGGTCCTCCCCCCCGCGTCGGCAGGCGGGAAAAGGGAAGTGATTGGAAAAACTTGCCGGGAGTACCATCGATCGGCAGGCATCTCTCCGTGGATCGAAATCGACTCATGCTCGATCGACTTCACTGTCAGAGTCTGAAAATCGGAAATTCTGACATTCACCCGCGACTATCGAGAATCGATGGCCGAAAGTTTCAACGCAGAGAACACTCGCTGCGAATTGCTTGGAAATTCCGCGACAGACTTTACGGCGATGAAAAATCGGACCCGATTAAAGTCGCACAGATGATTTCGATCCCTGCACTCCACGCTCTTGTCCCCGCGAAGTAAAAGGATCGCAAGAAGAGCGCTTCTTCTTTCTCGATGTCACCGGAAGCGCCACGAAATCCTATCCTCACGGCGTTTCCGAAGCTACGTTCTATGTACGAAGGAACGGGCTCGATAACGATTTAGAGATTCTAGCCTAAGTGTCAATGTAGACGCTACGCTGTGTCTCTCTGTTTCCGTGTGTATGTGTGTGTGTGTGTGTGTGTTTGTGTGTGTATTTGTATGTACTTCTTTCTCTCTTTCTCATTCTCTCCCGCTTTCTCTCTTTCTCTTTCGCTCCCTTGCTTTCTCACTCTCTCACTGTACTAAGGACTAACTTTTTTTTAAACTAAGACGTCGCCTATGCGCGATATCTACCTCACTGCTAAGTTTAGCAACATGGACATTATTATTTTGTTCTTCTTGATTAAATCCCTCTCCCTCTTCCGCCCCCTCCCATCCACTCTTTCTCTGCCCTGCTCCGCTCGACTCATTGTCGTTCAAAATAATCCATTTTTGTTACACGTTATTCGTCTCTCGTGTATCGCGCTACGGAAAAAGGATTACATTATTCTTTCTGTTCGTTTTTAATCGATTTATCAGTTATTCATTAATTGTATGCTCATCGTCGTTCTTACGGTATTTTAATCACGATGTTTTTCACGATTTCTTCCCTCTGCCTTCTTTTTATATTCTAGATTTTATGTATATGTATAATAACGTAGGGTCGATTTCCCCTGGTTTCGGAAGCGATTGGCGGCTGTTAGATTGTCGCCGGGATCACCGCGAGTCGAGAACTCGATCTTGTCCGCGAACGCGCAATACGGCTTTAGATACTCTCGAGTAACGTAAAAGCGTCGAACGAGCGAGGCCAAGACGCGAGAAGTGAGATAAGAATCGGGAATAAAGTCGCACCTGATGGAGGAACAATTATGAGCTGGTTAAAAAATCAAATAATTAATAAGAAAAAATAAGAAGGAGAATAAAAGTGAAAAATTTTCCAAGTCCGAAGATTCAAGGGAGACAAAAGCGGAACAAGGATCGTTCGTGTTCTAGTGAAAAATTCAATAAAGGATTTAAAGCAATAAAACTGAATCGCATAAAATAAGTGAAAAAAAGAAGTCACAACTCATTAATTATATTTAGTAACTATTGAGAGTAGAACATTTACATGTGGGATGTTAAATGCTAATATCCGCTTCCTCATCCTCGCATGGTGCATCGATAGTTTGCTTATTGCTCATTGGATTTTATCGATATCTGATTTTCAAAGACGTTATTTCAACAGCGACGGAACTCTCCCCCGTCACACGCATGTTAGGCACAAAAGAAGGACAAAGTTTGAAATAAAGAAATTATATCCACTTTATGTTATCGCATCTTTAACGATGTCGCCGCGAGAATAAGGACGAGGTTCCGCCTCTATTAAAATAACGTCTCCTTCCCCCCCTCATTCTTATCTTTTATTGCCTCTCGGCCTCGAGCGTTTTAATCAACGTGGATTTTCTTCCAAAAAGTGTCAAAGGCACGTGACTGAAAGGTACCCATTATTTTCTACAGTCCTCGCTCGACAATCGCGCTCATTTCTCTTCTTTCTCCTCGCCGCCGATATTGCGCGCTGCGAGCGCGTTCGATTTTATAACAATTGTCGTATACAGTCATGTTCTACGTATTCAGAAGAGTGAGTTAAGATAAGTTTCACCGATTGCGGTCGATCGATTTACCTTACAAAGGTGTGCCGGGGAGCCGTCGCGCGGCGTGCTACGAGATATACCGGGCGGACCCACCCTCCTTCCCTCCCCCCCCCTCTCTCTCTCTCTCTCTTCTACACTAATTCACTGACGAATAATATTCTTTTATTTTACTTTTTTTTATTTTTATTACTCCCTTTACTATTTATTAAGTTATCGTTACTTTATTCGTTATCGTTACTCGCTACCGTTTATTATCCTTGCTACTACGCTTGCTTTAACTATGGAAACGAGAAGAACGTAGTACGAGCTGCCACAACTACGGTACGTATGTGTATGCGTGTGTGTGCGCGTGTGTGTGTGTGTACTGTGTGTGTGTGCGTGTATGTTGTGTGTCTGATTATCTACGCGTACACACACACACAGTGTGTTCATCGAGGACAATGTCCTCCGGTGTGATCCGGGCCGCGCCTCCCCTTTTTCCTCCTCCACCCCTCTCTTTAAAGTTCGCTTCGATAAAAGTGATAACGTTTCCGAAACCGGGCAAATATGGTTATCACCTCGCCCTCTCGCTCGCTCTCATTCTCTCCCTCTCTCGCACTTGCTCTCTCTCTCTCTCTCTCTCTCTCTCTCCTCTACTACTCTACTCTACTATACGTACGTACGTACGTACGTACGTACGTACGTACGTACGTACGTACGTACGTACGTACGTACGTACTACTACTACTACTACTACTACTCTCTCTCTCTCTCTCTCTCTCTCTCTCTCTCTCTCTCTCTCTCTCTCTCTCTCTCTCTCTCTCTCTCTCTCTCTTTCTCTCATGTATCGCAGACGGGAAAAGGAACGTCTCAAGCGATTCAGCGATTCTCGAAAGTGATTTAAAAGATTGTGCTGGCTCAGAAGGAGCTGGACGAAATTTCATCAGGAATCACGGTTCACCGAGCTTTCCTTCAGCGCGTTCACTGTGCGAAGAAAAAGGCTTTTTTATTTGCAGCTTGCAAATGCAAAAATAGTTGTATCTCTTTCTCTCTTTCGCAATCTCTCGCTCTCTTTCTCTCATCTCTCATTCTCTCCTCCAACCGCGCTCATCCGCACTTGTGTGGAACAGCTACAACTTTTTTCTCGTGTTTTTCTTTCGTGTTTCTTTTTTTTTTTTTGTTTTGTTTCGTTTCGTTTAAATTCAACGAGAGTCACCCTGTGAATACACACGAAGAGCCGCAGAAATTACCCTGTGTGCAGGTGTAATACTCAAAAGGTATAATTTGGGTACGCTTTTTTCTTTACCGCTATAAGTATCGTCCGCTGATTAAATATAATTGACTTAACGTGTGTGGTGGTGGCGTGAGCCGTAAAATATATCTCATTATGCGTTATGCGTTCGTTTCTCAGGATGACACGTGCGCAATGAATCTGGAAGTGACATGACAGAATAAATACAGTGTATTAACTACGCAATAAAGTTACATTACCCTCCCCCATTCCCCCCACTCAAACAAAAAAAAAAGAAAATCAAAGAGGACAAATAGGATTTATTTTACGAAATTACGTCTCTAATGTTCGAAATCCGGCAGTGATTAAAAAATGTTATTGTTTAAAAATATATATGATATTAGACAGACGATCCCCCTTTTCCTGAAAAACTGCTTTCAATAGATCATTAAAATGTCTGAAATTTGTTGCTTGGAATTTCTCGGACAAGCTCAATTTTGAAGATTAGAGACTCAATTTCGTAGAATAAACCTTTAATTTATTTTTACAGGATTAACACTAGAACGCCGAGAAAATGTTGTTGCATCCATTTTAATCTTAGTCGTTTGCCATTACCTTCAGTAAAGTATTATTGCAAAATAGAAGAATCTGTGAATATACGTCTCACGAATTATGCGAATTATACGCGAAAGATAAAAAATAGCGCGGCGAAAGGCGTTCTAGCGTTTCTTTCTTATGTTTCGTAATGTAGAAGCTCGTTCATATGCATATGGGACATGTACATAGTGTCGATATGCAAGAGAAATGCATTGAGGGAAAGGAACATCTTGTCGCGAGTCTACAGAGCGCGACGGCAACTAGCTGAATTTATAAAGATTTTTGGCGCACTGCTCTCCGCTTCCGTACACGCGCAAAAACGAGACCGCTTATTTCGTAAATCGTAATTTTATAATTTTTTACCGTGTGTGTGCGATACAATTACGTGTAATTAGTAGTATCATCATTAGACTTTTTTTTTTATTATAATTAGTGTTACAAAAGCTTGATTATATTTGGATCGGACTGTAGCAATATATTCACATAACTATCGTCGTGGAAAATAAAAATTTAACGTTTACATTATACAATTATTCTTCATCACCATTCGTCGATTCGGTATTTATTTGTAGGTTTCTCCTTATCAATTCGCGTAATAAATACAATTATTTCATATAGTAATCGTCATCATTAGCATAATCGGTTCTTCCGACCCGGTCCACCCTCGTTTACTACGAGCTCATTCATTCATTCATTATTACGAGTCATTTCGCGATACTTCGTCCGAAATTGTCCCCCCCTCCCCTCCCGTTTCTTATACCTTCCTATAATATGAAAATCACACGTCTAATAAAAAGAATAAAAATTCAACCTCGAAAATTCACTTTTTTTTTCTTTTTTTGCGAAACGAACTATAAGCGAAATTTGCCGCTTTCTACTGCACGATCGATTGTATTTTTACTCCGTCGTTTATTGCATCCATTTCCCCGATTTCTTCCGCCGATTGCAAAGTACCAAAGCACCGTGAGTTCATTGCGCGACATACACGTTGCACGCAAGATTGCACGAGAAAAGAGTAGCATCGTTTAGCGTCGCTACGTACTTAGCTAAGGATATAATCGGTAATCGCGGGATTGCAAAAATCACTGCTCTGACGTTATTATTACACAAAGATCGGTCGTTGTGACATTGCACTAGTTCTTCCACACACACACTCTCTCTCTCTCTCTCTCTCTCTCTCTCTCTCTCTCTCTCTCTCTCTACTATACTACTACTACACTACTACTACTACTACTACTACTACTAC